TAACCAGAATATACAAAGAACTCAAAAAATTAGACAATAAGATAACAAATAACCCAATCAATAAATGGGCAAAGGACCTGAACAGACACTTCTCAGAGGAGGACATACAATCAATCAACAAGTACATGAAGATATTCTTATTGACAGATGTGAGGTGATATCTTGTTGTGGTATTGATTTGCATTTCTCTGATGATTAATGATAATGGAACACTTTCTAAAATACCCATTGGCCATCTGTGTATCTTCTTGAGAGAAATGTCCATTCAATTCTTATGTTATTTTTTAAAATCAGTTTTTTTTTTCTATTATAGCTATAAGAGTTCCCTATATATTTTTGGTATTAACCTTCTATCAGGTGTATGGTTTGCAGACGTTTTCTCTCACTCTGTGGGCTGCTTTTTCACTCTGTTCATTGATTCCTCTCTTGTCTTTCTGCTTGGGCTCTTTGGGGGCTCCTCACAGCAAGGTGGACTTCAGTTGTTGGACTCATACATAGTGACTCAAAGCTCCAGTGTTGGTGTTCCAAAGAACAATGTGGAGATGGTTTCACTTTCTAGCTTAGTCAAACAATGACATTTCCTCTGCATTGGATAAATTGTAAACAAGTTACAAGCTCTCCCAGTTCAAATGGGGGAAGAAATGAAATTTCTACTAATTTGTGGAGGAGGGGCAAAGTTTTAAGATAACATGTAAGTTATGGATTGAATTGTCTCCCCAAAATTTCATATGTGGAGTTCTAACCCCCAATACCTCATAATGTGAAATCACTGTAGATGTAACTTTGTTAAGATGAAGTCAACTGTATGGGCCCTAATCTAATTGTGATGTCCTTCTAAAAAGGAGAAATTGGACATGGAGAAATGCACACAGGGTGATGTTAAGATCAAGCCAGAGGGGCTGGGGATGTAGCTCAGAGTGCTTTCCTTGCATGTGTAAAGCCCTGGGTTCAAACCCCAGCCCCACCACTGAAAACAAAACAACAACAACAAAAAAAAAAAAATTTCTCCTCACAACCCCAAGAAGGATCCGACCCTGCCCATACCTTGATCTTACACTTGTATTCTCAAGAACTGTGATGTTTGAAATGCTTTGTTATAGCATCATTAGAAAGCATGATGTGGGAAATACTGTGTCCATTCTGGAAAATACCATTTGTTTCACAAGGTATTCACAAGGGAATGCCTATGTCTTCTATGAGATGCTCTAAGCCTACTTCAATCCTACCCCTGAATGGTTTTCACTATCTTAAAAAATGCAATCACTTTAAATATTATTGTCAGGGGCTGGGGATGTGGCTCAAGCAGTAACGAGTTTGCTTGGCATGTGCGGGGCGCTGGGTTTGATCCGCAGCACCACATAAAAATAAAATAAGATGTTGTGTCCACCGAAAACTACAAAATAAATTAAAAAAATATTATTGTGTAGGTAACTTTTTTCTATTTTCTTATCTAGGAAGGAGATTTTGTTTTGCATTGTGTTTTCCTACTTTGTATGACTGTTTTCAAATAATGATTTCTTAATCTCTTTCTAGTTCTTATCATGAGAGGATCAATGGAAATGAAAGAAAATGATTTTTATTCACCTTGTCAACATTTTAACTTCACTGCGACTCCTATAGTTGACCACATGGGGGAATATAACACTACCTGCCATCTAAAAAACCACACTAGAAAATCAATAAGAGTGGAAGAAGATCCAATCAAGGAAAAGTCTACAAATCACACTTGTAGAATTATGGACTATCCTAACAATTGTATTCACATTTCTTTGCACCTAGAAATGGACGTAAAAAGTAAAGTTTTTTTTTTCTTTTGGAGGGGGAGTATTGCTGTGTGTGTGTGTGTGTGTGTGTGTGTGTGTGTGTGAGACGTTAGTGATTGAACCTTGCACACATTGGACAAATACTCCACCACTGATCTACACCCCAGACCTATTGTATGTTTATAGTAATTTTTTTCTCTACAGATGTTACCTGTCCCACGAAGATCACTTGGTATATTTTAATTATATTAGTTTTTATATTTTTTATCATCCTCATTATCTTCAAAATAGTTAAAGGCCACAGGAGAATACAGATGTGGCAGAGTAAGTATTGAGAAATAATTGTATTCTTTTAGAGTAATATATGTAGTGTCAAAGAACTAATCTTGTCAATGGATTTAACTTTCTTTCCAATTCAATTGACCATTTATTGTGTAGCTATTGTGTCTAAGCAGTGATTCTAGATAATCCAAGGTTACAAGCATAAGGAAGACATAACATCAACACTCATACTGTTTCTCCTACGGGGCAATGAACAGTAGGGCAAGAAAGACTAGGCAAATAGGGAGGAGTTGATGGAACTGGAGATTGAGCAAGGCTTAGGGGAAGTGAGAATAGAGACAGGCAGAGGAACAGGGAGTGGTGACAAAGAAATTCAGATTTAGAGAACTTGAACAGAGCAGCTGTAGGTGAAAAATATGGTCCAGAATCAATCTTTAACAAGCTTGGAGTATCAGCAGATTTTTGGGTAGGACAGAGCTAAAATGAAATCAGGACAGTAGAGATAATGTTAAAAATATTTAACAATTAGTGTGACACCCATCTATCAAAATGGGTTGTAAGCTACTAGGATGCACTACTGGTGTATATCCAGGCATATACTGGCTAAATATCAGGCCTGATGGACAGTTTATTATATGACTGGTTGGTTTCTTAAAGATAATAAAATGTTATTACCATGAGAATAGGCTTTGGTGGGCAGAAGGACTGATACTAGAATCCTGGTTCTACTACATACTAGCTAAGTGACTTTAAGCATGTTATCATATCCAAGTGTGCCTTTCCTCTTTTGTCAAATGAGGACATTTCACCATTACCAAACAGTGCTGGGGTAAGAGCTGAAATACATAGATTACTTAAGAAGCTGAACACAGGGTCTGGTGCATAGCTAGTTCTTAGAAAATGATGGTAACTTTGTGATGGTTGCTTATTTCTAAGACCTATTTGTTCTTTACTGGGCAAAGCTGTGTTAGTCATTTCCATAGGGTAGCAAGTGGTTGCCTCTAGGTTTGAGGAAGGGTTCTACTAGTTCTTTTGACTACATATTTGTTACAGACATTTTTAAGATTGGTCTCATATCAAGTCTTGTCTCTGATACCTTTGTAAAAATGGCCATTAAAGCAGTAGTTAGTAATATCATTAATACTATATATTCAATTTATTTTACATTATTATTAGTAGTGGTAGTAATATCATCAATACTATATATTCAATTTATTTTATATTATTATTATTATTTTGGTACTAGGGATGAACCCAGGGGCACATTACCACTGAGTTCCATCCCCAGTCCTTTTAATTTTTGTTTTGTTATATGTAAGCATATAATGAAAATGTCACACCAATTATGGCATTAAATATAATTAAATATCAAACATACTTTTGGAATTTTGTACATCATCCATGTACAGAGTAACAAATAATAAAATATTTTGTATGTAAGGGCTGGTGCTTTTCATTAGAGGATGTGATATAATGGTGTTCATGGTGGCAGAGAAGTCACTGGTTTGAGAAAGAACTCAGCTGTATTTGATAGTGGAACTTAGTAGGAAAAGTTCCAGTGTCTGCTTACCCCAGGCCCTGTTGGGAAAGGCCCTTTCTCCTTGATAATCCATTAAACCAGCATAGGGAATACATCTGAAGAATGTGTTTCTCATCTAAATATTTAATTTCTTTTCCCGGAATAGGTCATAAATACAAAGGTACATCTGTTCTTCTAAGAGGAAGCGATTCTGAGAAACAGAGAGCATTGAACGTGCGGGTTATTTCAGGTGAGCTCCATGACATCAACACAAAAGCTCAGGAAATTCCAACACTGCACCCTCTCACCAAGCAAGTTCAAGATCTGAGCTCATTTAAATAGCCTTCGACTGGGAATAAAGGAGCGGAGCTGTGGGCAAATGAAATTCAGCTTAATATGTCTTATTATCAGGGGACAGTTAGGATCAAAACACGTCCTTAAATAATGGAAAGTTTGCTTAATTGGCAAGAAGAAACTCATGTGAGTAGGCAGAGGAGAGAACGCAGTAAGGAATAAGCCCCTGATTTATTTTTAAATGAGACAAGATACCATTATTCCTCAGAATTGCAAGAAGTAATTGCAGAGTGGGCATGGCTTTTTGCTGGAGCCTTCACTTCACAGAGGGTGTCATTGTGTAGAGAGAACTTCTAATAGCCCCAATTAAAAAGCCCCCTGTCCTCTCCTGAGAAACAGAAATGGAATAAGGGGATCCTAATTAGAGCAGCTAAGGGGCTGTTAGCACAGATGCTGTGGTTCTTTCTCCTTCTAATTGTGGAAGCTCCTTTTGAATTCATGCTGTCAAACCACATTAAAAAAAGAGACAGGGAGAATGTGACATGGACAAAGTCCTCTTCACCAAAAAGAAATAATATCCTGGACTCTTTGACAAACCACAGAATTATGAGTGATCTGACTAACACCCTTTGTCCATAGCCAGTGAGCTGGCTCCTTTGACTCTGAGAAGATAGAAAAGGAAGCTTGAAGTCGGGTGTGTAAACGCTTTTTAAAAATGAAAGGAGACCAGACAACTCCCTGTCTCACACTGCAGCTGCATCTGCAGCCACCTAGAGATCTGCCCAGAATTTCAGTGGGGACCACTGCCTGAGACATTTGTTTGCTATTGAAATTAACAAGAATCTCAGACTTCTCTTCTGGGGAAAGATTAGCCTGGGTGTACCCAAAGAGTTCCAAAAAAAATTTAAAAACAAACAAACACAACTCAATGCTAGCAGTCAAATTATTAAGCTGTAACTAATAATAAGTATTAGCAAAATAATCACTTGGCTCCAGTTACATTTGGGATAAGTTAATGGAAATTCTAGGTAGCCAATGTAAATTTGATTAATAAAAGCCATAAAACTTTTTTTTTTTTGTACCCGGGATTGAACTCAGGTGCACTTGACCACTAAGCCACATCCCCAGCCCTCAAAAAAGTTTTTAAATGAGAAAAAAATATTTTTTTTAAAAAAAGGAGAAAATAGCATTCCCTGGTTCTTATTTAGTACACAGGCCTGTACACCAGAAATGGTTTAACCCAGTTTGGCTGAGCTTTTTGGTTGTCTTAGGAATCCTGGTCATTTCTGTTTTTAAGTCATAATTTTGAGCACTGCAGTCTTGTCTGAGAAAAAGTCAATAGCTCCCCTGTCAACCCATATAATCGAGGGAATCACAAATTTTAAGTCCTGGCCAACCACAAGACTAACCTCACAAGTTGTATTTATGAGTCTGTGATTTTCTTTCACCCAAGAAACCTGTCTCAGCCCTACTTCCCCTTTAATAGCTCTCACTAAAAGTGTGGCTTTATTACCAGGTATATAATATTAATGTTTAGTTCAGGCCAAGGGGTGATGGCCATTTTTAAAACCAAGAATCCTTTTGAGGCTCAGCATCTTAAAAAGGGAAAGAAGCAGATTCTTTGTTATTTATATTCCTTTAACCTAAATGCATTTTTTTCCCTCTCCCTATTCTGAGTTGCTCTTTCTGAGAGAGAAATGGAAAGGCAATAATGTCTCCCTTGAGTGCCGTTTTTAAGGCCGCTCTTTGTAATGATGGATTATAGGCAGCAGTGAGAATGTAAGGGGGAAATGTATCTGTATGGTTCTCTGAAAACGCAGTAACATGAGAAAGAAAAAAAAATGTAGTTCAAAGAAGCAGCGACTGTGCCACCTTCGACTCCAGCTCTGTGTTCCAGAATGTCTCGCCACTTGTTCACGGATTACAAAGTCACTTTTGTTACACTCAGAGGTACAGACAGGCTCACACCCTCCAAAAGACATTCATTCATCGACAAGAGAGCAATAAGGAGAGATTACCAGGATGCTGGCACTGCACCACGCCTGGTACATACTAGAGACACAATGATCACAGAATAAATGAGTCTCACTACTGTAGAAAGAGATGTCATGTAGAATCAAATCCCAGCCTTTTGTGTGTCTGTTTTCCTCCTTGCTTGAGAGGCATGGTGACCTCCATTGCCTGTCTTGGCGTTAATCTACCTAACGTCTTATTCATCCAGTTATTATCTTCACACAAGCCCTGATGCTGCCTTATTCCTCTTCGTGTCTTCATCCCTAGCATAATATTTGGCACGTAGTTCATGCACGATAAAAACTATGAAACCTCACAAAGCCCCTAAGGGGAAATGAGTATTGAGGATAAAGAGCAGATGAGCAAGATATGAATCTCAGGCACTGGGAAAGGTGAAAACAAATGAAGCAACAAAGAGTAATTAGAGAGAACATAATTCGACTCCATTGAAGAGCCTAAAGCACATTTTATAGGCTTGCTCAGGATATCAAAGAATAATGGAAAACATCAACCACCTCCAAGAAGGGATTTTGAAAATCACATAACCTGAAAATGTATCTCTAAAAACAGTGCTCAATGTATTGGCCATGTTGAGAACCCAAGGCCAGGGGCAGGAAGAGTAGACTAGGATCTAAATCATTGATGCAAACACAAAAACCCCACTTGACTGACTGCAGAAAAGAAATTTATGGAAAACCAGTAGGTAAGCCATAAAAGCAAAAGGCAGGTTGGGAATCTGAGCTTTGCAGATAAACAGGAATTTGGGGGAGTAGGGCAGGAATACAGCCTAAGTCACACGCCAGGAATGGTCTGGTGAGAATGTCTTGCTGCTGTCACCACCGTGAGTGCTCCCTCTGAGGTTTGGGGCTACGCTGTAACCAGTGTGCATCATGAGATCTCTCCCCAGGATGGCTTGCCCCTACAGGACCGAGTGGAGGCCACACAGTGGTACACCAGGTGCCAGGAAGCAAGGAGAAAGACTGTCTGCCTCTCTGACTTTCCCTGTACTTGAGATGACCCTCTACATGTCCCAGTGCTGGATAGTCACTACACGAATATCTGCAACAAGTTTCTGGGATTAGATTTTCCACTCACACTGGCTTTTGAGTCTGTGAAGTGGTCTCCCTGCTATGTCCATGGAAAATGATGACAACTTTAACACTCTGCATTCTTCACCTTTAAATATTCAACCCAAGACTATAGGCCACCATTACACTAAGCACATAGCATAGGCACAATCCCTGCCTTCACAGGGCTTCCAAGGAGAATCAAGAGATTCTACCCCTGGTTGCCTTAGGAGAAGGGAATCTAATATCTCATGGGACACCTTCCACATGCACTGTACTTCCACATATGTCATTTCATGTAGTTTCATAGGAATTTCACTTTTTTTTCTGATCAGAAAACTGAAACCAAGAGAGCTTATATAACTGTCTTATAGTTCCTAGCAAAGTCAGAATTTAAATTCAGTCTGTCCAACTGATGCACTTTCTAGCATACCACTTAATGACAATGGTGTACCGAGAAGCTGCTGGTGCAACCCACAGATCAAAACTCTTCTTGCTTTTACGTTTAACACTGGAAACAGAGATGAAGTGTTTTCTCTATATAAAGTTGTAGCAGCTTGTGTGGCAATGTGAGTCATCCACAAAGAAACATTTCAGCATTGGCTGATTTTTTTTTTTTTTTTTTTGGTAGTTAATGTGGGTGGGTTCTCAGGGAACACAAAGCAAAGAAAATGGAATTTTATTGTGAAAGAGAATTAGTAAATGTCAAAATTAAGTGGATGACCCCATTTACATTACCTCCAAATGAAACTAATGGCAATGTAAAGTTATAATTTGCAATGTTTATGCCTAGTGCATAAAGGCTAAGCAGGTTTCAATTTCCCACGGAAAAGAAGATAAATTACTGGTGCCAGATGTTTTGCAACCAAGCAAGATAACATGAAAATTTAATTTTTACTTGCTTAACTATAATATTTATGACTCTTAAAATACAGGTTTGAGTTCATAAAACAGGAAAGGTTACCGCCATCTGCTTGGTTACAGAATAGATAAAAATGCAGAGGATAACTCTCTTTGCAAGAGGAAATTCATAAGTGTGAAAAATCTATAGGCAGCATAGGATGATGTATTCTGTTCATTCCTTGAATACCTTTATGTGACAGCTATTTATACCAGGTCTGGAAGAACTGATGACAAAACATATGCACATTAACATCTCTTCCATCTTTGCCAGACTGTCCCTGCCTGAACCATCTTGCATCCCTTGCTGCCCATACATACCTCCCATTTGCCCACTCTGACTTTGTCTAGTTAATTCCAACCCTTCCCTTGTGATCTGGGCTTAAACCAGCACCTTCTCAGGGAAGTATTCTGGAACTTTCTGTACTAATTTTTACTTGCTTTTATTACATACTGTTAAAACACCACCAACCTCTTCGTAGCAATTGTCACTGTTGCTATTTTATATTTTTGTTGGTATTTGATTGATGTCTCTTCCATAAATCAGTCAGCATCTTGAGGCCAGGGGCACTATCTGATGATATTCATCAGTGCATCCCCAGCTCACAGCATAGGGCATGTGTACTGCACATAGTAGAAACCAAATAAACATGTGCCAAATAAATACAACTCTCTATCCACTGCGCTGCTGAAAAGATCATTGCTACTATTTTACAAAGAATTTTCAGAACTCCCTCACCACCCCCCCACCCGACCCCGAATTGTAACTTTTGACAATCCCTATTCAAAACAATGAAAGGAACACTGTGAAACTCTTCCTTGGTTTCATTTCTTGGAGTAGGAAGGCTATCTGCAATTTGAAGTGTACAAGAACTAAGTAAATGGCTCTGAATATTGGCAGCTGTCAGTTCAAGCAGGGTTGTTTTTCCCTCTCCAGTGTTAATTCTAGATAATTTTGCAACCGTTTATCTTCTGT